TTGAAATGAATCGATCGGAGGTGCACTCCTTCATTGATTTTATTGGCTCATTTGTTCATCGAGCACACATCAATTTCACAATTATTACGTTTTTCAGAATAATTTATGTATAGGCAATGCATGCATTTGCATGCGATACTAACTTAGTGCATTGTTGATCTATTCTTCAAATATACGAAACGATCAAATTGGACAAATGTTTTATTTGGTGCTTCCTGCCAGATACGGCGATTTCGATCAATCGATCGCATAATCATCAATTAATTAGTGTAAAATTCAGGCAGTCGTTACCAATTCGACAACATTATCAATATATCAACTGTAAAATGTGTTAATTATTAATTATTCAATGAAGAAATTTTTACTAACATAAATTTCATTATATGAGAATAATGAAATGGGATTATTAGCATCTTTAAGAGTGAAAGAAACAAAACAAATTATGTAATTAAAACTTAATTTTGATTTCTTTTATTACCACCGTGAAAGATTTATTGCCAACCTTTAACCTTGTAATGTCAATAAATATTTATAAAACAATCAGCACTTGCTGAGTAGTGAAACACAGCAACTGCCTAATTCAGTGCAAAAATGAGATAGTTCGTCTTTTTGTTGCTTAATATGCTCCTTCGGATTTGTTTTAGAGTCTGAAATTTCTCTTCCGGATTTCTTTTAAAGTCTAAAACTTCTTTGCATTCACCTACTCATGATAGATTACGATAGTTACAACAAAATATCTTTGAATCAATGTTTAAAAGAGGTTCATTCTGCGCGTTCGCTAGAAATAACAAGTTTTCAAATTCATAAAAGTTAAATTAAAACTTTTGAGGTTTGACCCCTTTTTTTTCTTCTACTCCTGAAATAAAATCTAGTGAGCAGAATTTTGCTAGCTTATCGTAGCTTCTCTAATTTGAAACTCATAAGAATAATCACCTTCACTGATCGTTGTTGTGGTATCATTGAGCGATAAAGTTGTAGGTAATGGTTGCGTGCTAATAATTGCTTGTTCCGAGACATGTTGTGAGGAAAGTGTTGGCTTAAATATATTTTCGAAATATAATACTATGTTGAAGTGTTATGTGAATATTTAATTGATATGCAAATTGAAAATAAGTTATCAGAATTACGTTAGTGGTAAACTAACTGAATAAACAAAACACACTCGGCAGAATTTTACTTAACTTTGCTGAAAGTAATCAGACTATGGCATAATTTAATAGCGCGTCATATTTACACCTACACACGTACTTTTATCAATTAGCAAATTCAGAAAGATTTAAAATTACAGCTTACGACGTTACCAATAGCTTTAATTTCGAACTGTTCGACATTTTGAAAATCTTTCAAAAACTTTCATATCTCAGTTCTTCTGCAAGAAGAAGCCTAAAATTGTAAATGCAGCGGAAAACGCATCCACTTTCTAGTCACGTGAAAATTAACATTAGCTTCAGTTTGGATGTCATTTGTCTCTTTCACAAGAATTGGACTAACCATTTCAGGTGGCAAATTATTCTCTGATTTCTTCTTTATGTCTTCTTCTTCTTCTTCTTCGTCCTGATTTACGCCTTCAAAATAAAATACATTTTATTAAAAAATAAATTTCTTGAAATAAACGATGACAGATATATAAAGTAACTTAAAGTGAAACATTAATGCCGTGAAACGGCTAATTTCGGTTTATTATGCTATCGTATTAGCTAAGCCGGAATAGTTTAGCTGGAAATTACATAGGACAGTCCTGCAAAATTGCTTTAATTTTTAGTTTCTATTTCTTGCTTTTTTTTTGCTTCCTCAATGATTCTCAGTTTTCATTGATAATTTAATTTTTTTTGAAAAACTTATCGGTTTTTAGGATTTAAATGAAGCGCAGTATTCTTAAAGATAAGACAATAGAAAGATTGAAATGAATATTAGCAATGAAATGTTTCTTTGCTTACAATTTATAAATAAATTTACTTCAAATTATAATCAAAGCTTATTTTAATTTATACAGCATATTCAGAGGTAAAATATAAAATGAGTGGCATTTTTCTAAATTTATCAAAACTTTGCTTGGATTATTGAATTTTATAAGATGAAAAAGGATCAGTTGAAATTTCTGCTAAAAAAGAAAGTGAATAGCTGCAAATGCTAACCGAAATTAAATTTAATAAATCTTTATGTGAATTTTAAAAAAGTTAAGTAGCACATTTAAGTTTTAAATGAATCATTTCCTCAGAGTAATGGATAATTTCATTTTCAGATGTAAAAAAAAGTGGTACCAAAGTAATAGGAAATTTGAACTGAGCGAAATTTAAATAGTAATATATGCTTTCATTGCAAAACTCTCCTCTATTTTGTTTGTAATTTGCTAGGAGAAAAATGTGAATTGCAATTATTTGCATAATATTTTAGTATAATTCAAATTTCATTAATTTAAGAAATTGCAACAATTGTTGAAAAAAAATGCTTTCAATTTTTCCTTATACCTTTTCAATTGATAAATCATTGCTAATGAAATTAAGAGAAAATGGATGAATGGATAACAAAAAGTTATCCTTTATTGCTAAGAATAGAAATTTAAAAAAGTGCATCGATCAGGGGATGAGAAATGTTGCTTTTTAAATTGATATTAAAGATAAAGTGATAAATAATTGAAAAATGTTTTGGAAAATAACAGTAGTTCTTCCTCTATCAAATATCTAAGAGCGAGTAACTGATCAAATAGCTTTGCCAATTGAGCATTGAAAGTGAACAGCTGCAATTTTAAATTAATGAAGAAAACGACGTGATTGACATAATATAAGCAAATATAAATTGAAATGAATATTAAATGAAATCCGTTAAAATCAAAAAATAAAATTGTAATGAATTAATTGTACGATAATTGTCAGATCGTTCAAATAGCAATATTATAACAGGCAAAAAATTTCCTAATGAGTTCCTAAAGTTCCCAACGCTTATCCAACGGATAAAAGTTGATGTGGCGGAGAAGTCGCAAATTTAAGTCGTTTTTTTTCGTCTCTTTGAACTATCTGTTGATAATATTGCACATTTTGTTATATAAAATTTTAGGATAAAAATGAAATATGAGATAGCTAATGAATAAGTTATGATTTGGGAAGTCTTTCATATGAATATTTGAGCTTTTGATTATTCAAATTATTAATGAATTAAAATCTCTTAGATAGCATACTTTGAACTATATCTATTCCATACTTTCAGCAATTAAAATATACTTTGATAAATATGAAATCTATCCTCACTTGATAACACTAATCTCTGACAACAGTTGCATTCATTTATATTAGTATTCACGTTATTACTACCATCGTCCATTTCAATTACTGTGAATTCGTGACTCACTCTTAAACCATTCTCCAAAATCCTGAAATTTCTTATAAAAAAGGTAAAAAATTATTTTTAAAAAACAAAAAAGAAATTATATTTAATTATCCAATAAAATGAATTAAATAAAAGTATTTTTCAATATTAGAAAATTATTCTAATTTATTCGGAAATGAATATTCAATAAAATTGTAATACAGTAATCCATTGATGGGACCTACCAATGGATTAATTCTTCTTGAAGATCTGATTTTGAGTACTTCTGAAGAAGTCGGTCGGGTGAAATAACTTTAATTGCAGCTTCTAGCTCCTTATCTGACATTTTTAGAACAGTTCGCTTTTTAATTAACATTTCTGAATAAATTCCTTGAAGAATCAGGAAAACTGAAGAGTTGCAATGGTTATATCACAACTTCTGGGAACGCATTTATAAAAATAATGATACTTCTTACTCAAAAGCCTTAAAGCTATTAGACGTGTTTTTCTGATTCACTTCCAACTTATGCTAATAATTCTTGAAACAATTAAATTCCGCTTAATTTTATTTCTTATCACTGATTTCAAAAATTCCTATCCTATCGGTAATATCATTTAAAAATCAATTATTTCTCTGTTTCAAATTAATTAACTTTTAAAAAATTGAATATTCAGAGTGGAATATTTAATATTTACTCAAATTCACAATCATTCATCAAATGTTAATTAATACTAACAATTAATTGCTGTTAAATTAAAATAACTTATTATTATTATTCATATGAATGCCAAAAATGAATGATATGAATCAAACATCGCTAAAGTTAACAGAAATGAAAACACAGTTACATGATAGTGAAATTTGTAGATTATTGGTTCTGTCAATATTTTGCAAATAATAGAAGCGGAACGATTGTGATTTTCCATTGGAAGGCAAATTGTAAACTAACAACAAGCAATAATATATTTCTGATGAAAAAGAGGGATAAATTTGGTTTATATTGTTGAGCGCATTGTGATAAAATTGAAAAAGACAAGCGCTGTTTGCATGAAATCGAATAAGCAACGATAAAAATAATTTAGAACAAATTCTAATTAATAAAACTTTAATTAATAAAAGAAAATATATATTGAAAAAATATTTTGCTTTGTATAAACTAACAAACAAATTAATCAAAAAAGCTAAATTTGATATTTTTATAAAACTTTCTGTACGCTTTGTAATTTCATCAAAAATTAATTGATTTCATTAAATTTCGGCAATGGAAATGCTAATTTGGTGACACGAAAAATATGCAATCGATAAAAAATATTTGTAAAAGATTTGTGTTTGATTTTATTTAATTGTTTTTTTGGCAGTAAGTTCAAAGGTGAAATAATCATTCGGAGAATGATAACTTTTTTTTGAGATTTAATTAATACATTTAAAACTTACCTTTTTCTCATTATTGTTTCATTTTTCAAATTTATATCGTTTTGTTCTTTTAAATATTCATTCGATCAGTTAACAAATCATAGAATGTAATTGCAAAACTTTAAATTTTTATTGCATTTGCCTTTTAGTGTAAAATCAATTTGTTATTTCATTTAATTATGAAATGTAAAATTGTCATATATAGTCAGGAATGATTCCTTTTAGAGATAGAATCTACAATGGTATCATAGGAAAATCAATAGCTTAATTATATGTAATTTGATATAGTGCTTCACTAACTATTCTAAATGATCCGTACCGCTATTCATATCGCTATATCACCATTTTATATTGTCATAAATTGCATTGACCAAAAAGATTTTGTTTAGTTGTTTGGCTTTGTTGTCATGGTTGTAAATGACGCATATCATATCATATCGATCATAATACTTTATCTTACAAATTTTTACTTAATCTTTTAATCTTAGCTTTATATTATATTTTATTAATTTTTGTGATAATTATTAATTGTAGAAATTGTGAATTTTATTGTATTTTTAAAATTGTTATCCAATTTTTATGAATATTGATATGGGCTTTACTATTTTTTAATTTCAATCAATTATTATTACAAATGTAAAAAGAAATATATTTTATGACAGTATACTATTAACGTTGAAATATGAAATTCATCAATATCATACAATACTTTTTTTTCAATGGGACAATGTCACATTCATTTGTAATGGTCGATGAGAAGAATTTATAACTGATAAGCCTAATAAAGTAAACAATTTACTTTTTATTAAAAATATTGAAACGTTTGTGTGTCTATTATTATTTTATTATAATCTTAAACAATTATAATTAGACGAAAATTATAATAAGTAAGCTTTCTAATTATTACGCATTTCTTTCACTGATTCGTAACACGTTTAATTATTTTTGTGTTAATTTATCTCAAGGCATTAATTATCACTATAATACATATATACTTTTCCTTTATTTACTTTTATCTTTTGAAATTTTTTATTTATTTCTAATGATCGATTAAGTCATTTTCTCTCTCTCTCTCTCTCTCGTTCTCTCTCTTTTGAGGAATTGAATTCAATAAATTCTGCAAATTTGAATTTTAATTGATCGATTATACAAAAGATATATTGAAATATTAATATCACAGGGTGATATTAATGAAAAGAAAATTTTTACATGAAATTGCTTCTATCTGTATAACATTTTACTTTTATCTGAAATATTTCTAAATTGATCTTATCATTTTAACTCTTTATGTTACATTATCATTTTCTCTATTTGATAAAGTATAAACAAATATCAGTGATAAGAGCTTTCCTCTTTTTTTTTTGTTTGAGAACAAATGACATTGTCAACTTATGTAAAAGTTCAAATTTTGAAAATTTCGAAGAAATTCTTAAAAGATCGTCCTTTTTATTGCAAACTGTTTAATAGCTGAATTTACTGATATTGCAAATCGGCGATATCGTCATTCTTATCGGTGAAGTGCTCGATGATTAACAAACCACAAATCTGTCATTATCATTGATGATCAGCAAACCGCAAATCTCATCATCTCTTTGCTGTAATTTTATGTTTTAAAAAATTTATGCAAACATACTGAATGGTTCATTTTCTTTCTTGCGAAAATTTTTCTAATGATAGAACAATAATTGATGATTTTTTAAATTTAAAGAAATTTAAAAAAAAAGTATTTTACTAATTGAATCGAATTTCACTTTGGGTTTAATAATTTTTTCGCAAAATTCGAATTTTGCCAACAAATCTATCGTATTTTTTAAATATTGTAAAGTTTTTTTATTATTGTTAATTATGCCTATTGTTTTATTTGTTTAATTTTTTTAATCGTTTGCTCATTTTCGTTTTGGGAATCGATTAATTGTAAAATGCTTCAATGAACAGCGCGTAGTACGGTATAATGAGAAGAAGTTTGTATACATTTGGATTATGAGTGCATTGCTACCTTTCCCTTTTTTGTTTATTTGATTGATCGATCGTGCTGATGATTCCTAAGTAAATGAATTGATTAAGAAAGCAATCAATAATGAAAGCAAAGAAATTTTGTTAATCTTTGTGATTGTTGGACCTTTGACCTCTTTCCTTATTAGGAGAGCACTATACCATAGAATACAATCCTAAAATTTTCTCAAACGACTCATTCTTTAAACCAAACGTTTACAGCTTACATTAACATCGTATGATAATTAATGCTGCATTTTCATCACACTTTCAAGATGAAGTGAAAATCGCCACTCACTTTTTCTTCCAATATTTTCTCTAAAATCTCTTAACTGTCAAATTATCGAATAAATAAAAGATTTGTGTTCGTTTATTGTTGTGAGATTTTTTAAGTTTTAATTCAATGAAAAATCAATTCAACGAATCAAAATGTTTTATTAATGAAATTCTTACTTTTCCATTATATTTTTTAATGCTAAATTTTAGTTTCAAAACTTTTTCGAATAAATAAATGCAATTCTTTGAAATTTTAATCATTTCTTTATGCAAACAACAAATTTAAAGCTTTTTATTCATTATTTTGTCATTAAAATAGCTATGAAAATTCCTTACGTATCTAAAAACGTTACGTCACGTGAAACACGTAAAATAAAAAAGTAAACTATTATGCAATCTGTCATCAAAAAAATTTCCATATATGTAATAATAATATTATTATTAATTTTCAATTATACTAAACAGGAAATTTCTTTTTGTAATAATTGACAAATAAGAAATAATTTATCAAATTCATTTTCAGTTGCATATTTATGAATGCAACAGTTGGTTATTTCGATGTTAACAATTCATTCTTTTCCTCTCTGTTCAAAGAGTTCTTAAATTTTTTAAATTCTTAATAGGACAATTTAATTAATAACTGTCAACCTTAAATAATTCCCAAATGACACCTTCTCTTATTTTTATTATTGGTAAATTTAAAAATTGGTAGATTAAGGAAATCTAAAATTTGATAGATTAGGTAAAAAAATCTCGCAGTCATTACCTGTGTATGACAAATGAAAGTATTAGTAATGATAGTTATAATACTCTCAGACTGGCAAAAATTCGAATCGTATTTATATTTCCAATTTAAATTTTTAATTTAAAAATTCAACAAAAAATTTTGGAATGTTATATTCACTTCATTTCTATTTCTTCGTATTGTGTTGTTTATTCTTTTTGCATTTTCAAACATTTTAAAGTTTAGATTTTTGTTATATGTCAATGATTGAAATAATAAATTTATAAATGAATCATTCTTATCAAACAAAATGTGTGATGCATTTTTTTGAAGATTTATTTTAGTGCAAACGAAAAAAGAGAAAATGATCGGTCGGTCCGATCCGTTCGCAGATATTTGCATGAATATGTATGTGTATTTGGTAGATAGATGGCTGGATGATATTGAAAAAAAAGCAGTGATAGCTCGTTGTATCGTTGTTGATAATGTCGAGAAGGCTTTTCAATTTGTCTATACCTTTTTTGCATTTTCGACATTCCAAAGATCCTTTATCGTCTTTTTTTCTAATACTTCTTTGCCATTTGTTGACCTTCTCTATGATACATTGATCATTGCTAATATTATAAATGAATTCAAAGCGTTTTTTTCATCAATCATCAATTTATCGCATCATTCGAATAAATGCTCTACATATATTCTTATTCTAATATTCCATAATCCGACCAATTATTCTTTTATATGTAAGTTCAGTAATTAATGACTAATTTAATTACTATACATATTATATATGTTTGGCTTAACTTCTTACTAATTCATTTCTCTGATCTGTTCTGTTTTATTATTGCGTTTATTTGTTAAATTAAATTAAAAAAAATTTTTAAATGAAATGTATGTTGTGGATATTATAGTAATTATAATATAGAAAAAACAAATTATAATTGTCGTTTGGTTCAAAATAATAGATGGTTTTTTCATTTCAAACATTTTTATTCTTTAATTGATATCAGGCTGGTATTAATTTTCACTTAATGTTTGCATTTAATGCAATTGAAACATTTGCAAATAAACTACCTTTTTTTGTAACTTTTACTACTTTACTATATTTTTAATAACATATCGCTGTATTTTTATTTTAACGAATTATGATAGTTACTGTAATTATGATAGTTACTAAAATTGATGAATGTTGCAAATTTTGTCAACTTTTCAAATTGCTATTTCTTTATCATTCTCTAGAGCTGTCATCAATACACATAATTATTTTAGAAATGTTTGTCGAGCTACAAGGCTTTCTATTCTTTATTGAATGTTAATATAATTACTTGAAATATTAATTTAGCATTCTTAAATCCTACTTGAAATTGAGTATCGATTAAAATTATTAATTTATTTATAGAGATTTTCGTTGCATCGCATATGTGTTGTTCAAATATTATATTCTTAGTAACAGGAATTAAAGTTGTGCATATTGCTATGTAAAGGCAGGTGAATCAATTTTAGAACTTAATTTTAAAAAATGCATTCAAAAATTAACTGTGGGAAATCTATGAAAAGTTATGATTGAAATTACTGAAAGATAACATATGCAATATCAGTTTAAATCTCTTCACAGTATCCTATTAGGATAAATGGAAAGGGTCATTACCATCAAAGGTATTTCATCAGTGTAATGTTATTATTCATTTGAATTGATTCACTGATACTAATCGGTTTAAAATCTTTCTTTCTGTCACCTCTTTGATTTTTCGATATCACTGATAAATTACTTTCTTCGAATTGCTTTATCATCCCTTACTTATTGTATATAACTTATATCTCCTTTATATGCCAATTATCATTAAATTGTTCTCATGAATGAGACTTTAAAAAATTTTGAAAATAAAGTATGTACAGCAGTTATATTAGTTAATCCATTTTACAGGCACTGTGTAATACTTTTTAATAAGAAATTTCTTTTTTCGGTCTAACAATTGAATAGCTGACTAATAACGTAAATTGAATAATTTTAATATGAAATTTAAATCTTTGCTGATTAGAGTATAATAAATATAGAGGAATTATGTGTTATTAGTATGCCATTTTCGGGATTTAATGCATTACCATTGAACAACAGCCTCTGTTGGAGGGAATTCCGCTTGGCTTCTTTTATAGCTTGGCTATGCCAAGTAAATTATCCTAAGCAAAATTATTTTCTCAGAAATTGTCATTTTAAGGTAAGCGAGGCATGCATCGGTTCTCATTGCAGGTTAGTATAAAAAATCTATACAGGTAAATAATAGTCTTTGTTTGAACAATCGGTCTTTTATCCCGTGCTAAACGTAAGTATAGTAGTTATGCTAAAAAAGTGTACGTAAAATGCTTCCGTTAAGTTTATTAATTAGCTAAGATACACTTTGGTTAAAATTTATTAACAGTTAATTCCGGATAATTTTATTTATCTAAAATATAGAAATTAGACTAACCTTATAATTATATTATTGTCCAAATGTTTTCGAAATTTTCTTTCATTCTTTCAAATGTAAGGAAATTGTTATAGTAAATTAACATTTCTTTTCTTTTTGTCCTCTTTCTCTAATATTTTCATTCTAATATTAACAGGATTTCAATCCAGAAAATCGATTTAATATTCCGTTCCTGTTTTTTTTTTGTTTTTTAAATGAAAAAATAAATTTGATTTCATCGCCCTCTTTATTTTTATAGAAAAATGGTTGAATTTTTCTTTCTCAATATGTTAACTTTTGAAGTTTTCCGAAAACAGTCAGAATTTCTACTTCTTCATCTTCCGTTTAACTTATCCGTTTTTCAACTTATCCGTATTACGAACAATTCTGAATGTTTTGTCAATCAGAAATTAAATAATTTCCGATATTTCATTCAAAATTTTTTATCACAAATCTGTCATTATATCTTTCTTCGAGAAAACTTGGAAATAAAATGTAATTTTTCGGGAAATATTTTAAAAGTGATATTTGAGAATATCTCTCGATTATCATTGGAACATTCAAAATTTCTATTCAACAGAATCATTGGTACTTTGTTGAGATTCCTTTGAATGATACAATATTTTTTGAACTTTGAACTTTCTAGTTACTTACTTGTATTTTAGTATGATTATACTTTCTTATTCATAATTTAATTACTATTTATCCCAATTTTCATACCCTAGATAGTTATCAGCAAATGACAATTTGAATAGTTAAAAAATAAAAACTACTTTTGCTATTTTCAAAGCTCTATTAAAGAGAGAAAATATTTTTCCATTATGTTGGACATTAGAAATTCAAGAAGGTCGAAGTTTTACTCATTATATATATATAATTTATAATTTAATTATATATATATATATATATATATGAAAAGGTGTATCTTATTGGATGTTGACACCTTTATTGCTTAATTATTTATTTTTCATACCTTTCTTTTTTCATTTGCAAGATTTAATTGTGAAATATCGTTATGAAAATTATAAATATTCGATTGAATAATGTATAAATTTATTTGTTAGAGATATTGTGAACGAATGAAATGAAAGGAAAAGTGACAGTACATTTTGGTAATGTTGGAGTGGTTGTTCCGTGCTATGATTATATGACTGTTAATGATCTCATTAAAGCATCTATTTTGCGATACAAAAAAGCTACCGGACGAGTAAGTTTTCAATTTTTATTCTAATTTATTTAATTTTATTACATATATTATTGAAAAATAAAACTTATATAATTGCTATCTTACAATTTCTTCTAAGTGAATTAGTAAAAAAGAAGTTATTAGAAGTTGAAATTGTCTTAATTTAAATTTTTGCTTAAAATGTCATAATTTGCATTTGGCGGTGTACGTTGAATCCAGTGCTCAAATTAATATTTAACGTTTTCATTTCATTTTTGAAGTGAATGAAAGGAGAATGAACTCTCAGTGAGAAAGAGAGAAAGGGAGAGAGGGAAAAAACTTTACTGTAAATTATGTGATCGAGTATCCGGTGATCCTAGAAAGTTGTCAGACAACAGTGAAAGAGTCATTTTAAAATTTATGAAAGAAAAGTTTCTCATCCATACCTGTTATTCTGTCAATTCAAATTTCAGAATTTAGTACTGATACTCAAGCTTTTTTAGAGCACTCTATTAACGCTACGAAATTTATTGTAATTCTTCATTAAATTGTTTATTGTTAAGTCTTAATTAGATTACTTCTTCTGCTGTCATTTGATAGAGTCTGTTGATTTTATAATAATTTGTAACTCTTAATATGATTCCTTTTATTTCTCAACAATCAATAATTAAGCTACAATCATATTAGCATCAAAACTTGAAATTTAACAATTCTCAAAAGTTGCCAACTTTTTATCAAATACTGTTAATTACGGGCCATTTCACTTTGTTTATCGAGTTGCCTATTCATTAAAAATGAATATAATAAGTTGGGAAAGGTCAATTACTGGCAGAATGATCAAGTGGAATGATTATGGTCAGAAAATTCATAGATATCTTACGAACAATATGACCTTTGTTTATTAATTGAAAAATATAAGAATGCATTAAGGAAATAAAATGAGTGACAAAGTTCAAATACTTTCTAAGTCATTTGTCTATATACTTGACCTTTGTGTGTGTGTGTGTGTGTTTATGTGGATGGACCTGTGGAAGAGAATGTTTGACCATGTGATAATAAAATTTGTCATACAGACCGATAGATCCAACAACACAGAAATGTGGAAGGAAGCAAGAGAAAAAGATACCTCTTTCATGATATCTCGGACGATCAACGAGATGCCACGGGGATCTTTTTTTCTTCGCATATTTCCCGTATTGCATAGGTAAGAGGATGAGTGCACATAGTTTATGTGCAAATGCATGCGCATGTGGATGTATGTAGGTAGCTGTGTCTACGCATGTATGTGTCTGTCTGTCTGTCTATAATGATGCAGGTGAGGTGGTCGAGGGAATGGGGAGTCTGCTCTGTGATGTCCCCGCCCGTATGGTATCGATCAACACCGCGTCACAGGTTGCTGAGAATGGAAAGTTAGGAGATCGATTGATCATCGAAAGGATATGTATTCTTGAGACTATCTATGCTTATCCATTTATTGTCTCTTTATTTTAATAAAATTTAGTACATATTGCAAGCTTTCATCTTCTGTAGGCCTCTTGCAAAATTATCATTTTTACTCGCATTCTTAGTTGTAAGTAAAACTATCTCTTTGAAACTTACCATAGAAAGATTATTTAAATCTTCCACAAAAAATCTGATTCTTCCTCTGCGGCAGAAAGCATTCGAATGCGTTGAAATTATCTATCGCTCGCTCTGATCACTCAATGACCATATCTCTGACAAAAAGTCTTTCCCATTTATTTTCGATATGTAATAAATGTGTCGCCACAAAAACGATAAATGAATAGTTGGTGAGAATTTGTTAGTGGCATAACTGCGTGAAAGGAGTTAATTTAAATGTAATGATTGAATCAAATTGCCAATTCATTACGATGACCTCTCTTATGTAATGTGACATATTTTATTAAATAGTAATTGCCATCTTCTTCTTTAAATTAGATTGTCTATAAAAGAAAAAGCATGCTATACTGAGAGAATGTACCTGTTGGGAAACGAAAATTTGTAAATTGGAATCTGAATTAGGTAGGTTTTGTATTACTATCAAAATACTTTATTAAATGAGAGAAATAGCGTAATTAGATTCACGTGTGTACGTAAAGATAGCACGTGATATCATTGCATAATGCATATACATTCGTGGTTTTCGGAATATCAGCTTTTCATTTAAAAAAATCTTTGCAAAATGAAATATGACTTTTACAAAAAATGATATCAGTGATTTATTAAATGAGTGTCTAGAAATGGCATTTCCTATTCCGGTTGTTATCATGAATGATTCTAATGGCCAATCCCATTTCAGTTTTCATTTTATTGATATTAGAAATGATAAATAAGCATTGCTGCTGTATATTTAATGATCAGTTTACATCAGTGATCAATTTACATCGTTTGGTAAACGTATACATCTGTAAACCGTTATTTCTCTTATCATTAGTCTATTATATCACAATCAGGAATAGCTATGGATACGATTATGAAAAAATGATTTGTCTATCGTCCTTCTCTCTCTAATTTTAAAAAGAGGCCTGATCGATTTTGGAAAAGAGAAGAACGAGAGAATTTCTCCACCATTACCTTCACTGTCATTATCATTATTATTATCAGCTCATATATCATATGATGTCCACAACAACAAATAGTGCTGCTATCGATCATACTGGCATCGTACACTGCCAACAGAATGCAAATTATGTTACAGTAAGTAGATTTAAATCTAAATTTGGATAAGTATTTTTGTCCATTTTATTAACATATATTATTAGCGTATTAGATAGAATTTATAGCCATCAGAACATGATGTATTTGTTCATCATGTTGAGTGTTTACGAGATGGTGGTATTCTGGATCCCGATGACCAGCTTTTTGATGTTTTTGATGAGAATAATGATCAGGTTGGTGATAATCATCGACACTTAAAAATTTTTCAAGTTTACTGCAACAACTATTATTGGTTATGTGTTAGTGAGTTTAGATGAAATTAAAATAATCCGTAAATTAGATGAAAATAAATGGAATGAGTTGTTTAGAAGGGATTGATTTTTTGAATCGTTATCTACATTTTTCAGATAAAGTAGTGAAAAGGTTGGATAAATATCCTAAATTTCTTTAAATTGAAACTTTCATTCGAACTTCTATTTTTAACTTTTTAGTAATTTCACAGTCCAGTCCAGATAATTATTTTTCCAAGAATTTTGATAAAGATGATGACATGTCATGTGAATTTAATATTTATTTTAGATGCTAGCGATCTACGACGAACCAGGCTTTGCTGTAGTGGATTCGACTCCATCAAGTACCTCTCGATTTGCCATTAACGGAACAATATCTTCAAGTTCTTCGTCGGCGACCGGAAAAACAGCTACATCAACAGAAAGTCCTATAGATAGTAAATTAAACATCATTTCAAGTTGTAGCGACGGTGATATTGTTGAAATAACAAATATTGCTTTACCACCGAGTTCGTTTTACCGTGATTGAAATTTTATTTGATTCCTTTGCTAGCAATTGATAGCTTTTAGAAAATATTTTGAATTATTGAGATGAAAATATGGAGTTTTCACTTATGAAAGCTTGGAGATTTTTTCTGAATTGGTTTTAAAATTAGTTTTATTGGGAGATATTTTGGAAGTTTTATTGGGAGATATATCTAATTGGTAGGCGCTTGCAAATAAAGGCGTATATAATAGTTAATTTATTGTTTCATAATTTGCGTGATTTAAACAAGGGGCTTTGAATTTATTTTAGCTGATGGTTTGCGAGTGATCTCGGATAATGCCCACATATTACAACAAAAGCCGTCCTCATCCTCAATTATAGCGGATTCTGGATCTGTTTCTCCGCTCTCTTTCCCGTTGACACATTTCGGTAGGAAATGCAATGATATGTCGAACACGTGTCGTATCTATCATTCCGCTCTGAAAAATGTTAACAGGTCACCGAAAAGTAAATATCGGGTTACTATATCTCCAGGTTTTTAATTTTTTTTTTGGATCTCTTGTAATCGGTTTGGTTTTTTATATCTTAATTTTTTATAGAGTAGCTGATTAGAAACAAAGACGTCTGAATTAGTTAGAAAAAATTAAAACAAATTTTGATTTTCATCAAATTTGTCATTATAAATTGACAATTTGTTTTTTAAATTAGTTATTTATCAGTGCTATTTTAAAACTAACCAAACCTTCTATTCTGACAGTTTGTAAATAGTATACCTGCGAGATAACTTCTATTCATAGAAGTCTTACAGTTATTTCTTTTCAGATGTTGATTGTCAACGATCTCAGGAATTGTCCACTTCAACGAAGGAGTCAATGATGACTCGAACGTCCGCCAGAAAATCGCGTCTCACTGACAATTTTTTTGATGCTAAAGAACGATTGGAAGAAAAATTAACAAGTGGTATCAAGAGTCATATAATAAAAGGAGATATGAGAATTCCAAAATTAATACCACTAATGGAAGCAGCAAATCGAGGACAAACGGTGGTTATACTTTCAGATACTACTATTAATATGCAATTGGGTATTGAGGTATGACTATTCTTCCTCTTACAACAATTATCTTCAATAATTATTATATCATTTTTGTCAAGCAATTTCATGTTATTTTTTAATGTTCAAATGTGCTTTATGAGGAATCAGGAAGAGTAGGATACTTTTTGAGGATAGAAGAAATCAGAAGAGTTATGATTTATCTACCAAACATGCACTTCTAATTTCGTTTCGCTTTTCAAACGAATCCTTTTAGTTCCAATAGGCAGCGAATCAGCAGTAAAAATTTAAGATTTTTATTATTGATTATTGGTTTTTGTTACTAAGAAAGGACGTGATGCCGAATGTGTTAAGTTTTTGAAATTTTAATTTTTCTTATTTGGTTTTGAAATTTTTAATTTTTTTTTCAGATTTCACCCGTACATGATCCGGCAAACAATATGCGCTTGCAAGCTGTAGAGATTCGGCAAATTAACGATGAAGGTCGAGTTGGCAGCGATGGACGTCTTCGGATTGGTGACCGCATTGTGGAAATTAATCAGCGTCCTGTTTATCAGGTTAATAACCAAAAATGGCATAGAACCGGCTTGAATCCACATATTTTTGTTAACATTTGGCAAATGATTTTTATTACAAAATTAGATGCCGGAACTATCGTACTTACTCTCTTCTCCATCTTCTAAGAATATAATTGGCTAAAATTACTTTAGTAAACAGCTAAAGATTGAGCAACTTCATTTTACAGATGTCGATCTCAAGAGCGCGTGCCTACTTACACGAAATACAAGCAATTGCTCACCCAAGTTTGACAATCGATCGCTCCATAGAAACATTTGCAAGCGATAGTAAGTGTATTGTTCATTGATCATAAATTATTGAGGGAAATTTATAGGACTGTTTCATTAACAGGGAATTTAAGTGCAATTTAAATCGATATCGTAATGATGTGGGATGTAAAATAGCAGCGCAACAAAAGTATAACTTCTCACATAAAGCAATTGTGCACATTGCTTTTCAGGACGGTAAATGCCTAATTGTACGGATGTGTGCTTATTTGTTTCAGATCTGAGTACGTTTATATCTTAGTACTTTTAGAAGCATCGCATTAAAAGCTCTACCGTCTTAGTGTTGGACTGTCCGAACTAACGGACAGTAATAGGAAAACGAAAATTGGGTAAATGCTAGGAACTGTCATTTATGAATGCTAGGAACTAAATGTTAAATGTCATTTGGTGAATCAGTATCCTTTCGTATCAGGCATTAAATTATTTCAAGGTTGCAGTGAACTGAATATTCAAACAGTTCTGATGAATTGGATATGCTTTACTGTAGAACACATTTTAATAAAGCAAAGATTATTATATGAATAATGGTGGTTATATTTTTCTTGCAAAATGTATGTTTTTTTTTTTGATTTTCAGCAATTTCTCATCGTAGTCAGTCATCAACGAGCAGTTTACAGAAGCGGCCAATACTTTCTGCATTGCAACAAGCTAATACAACGGCTCTTGGGATAACATTTCCAGTTGAAATTGTTAAAAGTGTGTCGTCTTCTAGCTTATCTTTTTGCAATTTATTAGTCTCCATAAATAACTGGGAGATTCCAGTCTCAAAATATTAAAATATTCTACTGACAGCTATATAGTTTATGAGTATAGAACAAAAAACACTGTTTATCAATTTCTAATTTTGCGTAACAACTAATACAATACATCTCAGGAAGTGGCGGATTTGGTTTTACCATAACAAGTCGCGAAACTGCTAAAGGTGGACGACTATTTTATATTGGAACTGTGAAAGCAGATGGTGCTGCAGTAAATAAATTAAGAGCTGGTGATAGGTTACTGCAGGTGATAATATTTTTTATGCTTTTGCATTCTCTTTTATTTATTAAATGTGCTGGATGTTTGTTTAATTTATAATTTAAGATGCTATTCGATAAATATGTAGAAATGATTATGATCATTCCATTTCTTTTGCTTTCTTCTTTAAGCTTTTTCCTTATGTTTTAGATTAATGGGAAGAAAACAACTGAACTTACCCAAAATGATATGGTCGAACGTCTCAAAAAACTGAATGTTGGTGATTCAATAAATTTATTGGTTTCACGACTCGGAAACCAAGAAAACGAAAATCAGAGTCCAACAGTAGTGAAAAGTAATCATGAAGATAGAGAATGCTGTTATCAGAAAGGAGCGAATGAAGGGACCGAGCGGTATGGGTATACTTAATTAGCGATTTTACTGGTTAGGGTACGAATAAGATGTGGAGCAGCACACTTATTTTTGGTCCATTGATCAAAATTTGGAAGTAGGAACTACTGTAAAAAGGTTTCCAAGGATATGCTTCTTCTGGTTATTAAACTTTGCGGACAGATAAAATTAAATTGCTTGAGGTCATTTTGCAAAATGAAGTGATCCTAAATAGTTTACAACACTCTGAATATTCTGTGGTGTTTTCATTATTAGCGAAACTGTAAGGACATTTCCGGCAATATGGAAGGATTTTATGTCTTGACTTGATATAATTTCACATGAAACATGAAGTAAAAATTTGCAGAGAAGAGATTTTGATGCTGAAAATTGCCTTGAATGAAACAGGAAGTGCTGGATTGGGTATAAGCTTAAAAGCAAGAGCCATTATGAAGCCTGATGGTACTCGTCATGATTGCGGAATATTCATCAAAAAGGTTAATTAAATATTTTATTGCCTTCTGTTTGCTTTCTAAACTAGGATTTATATTCTTTTTTTGATTCTATCAGTGTTTTTTCAATTGTGTCCATTTTAGCATCATTCTTTGTTCTAGTACACAAAGTATTGGAAAACTACACTTAATTACATATTTGTTGCAGGTTTTGCATGGTGGTGCTGCATATAAAGATGGAAGATTACAACTGAATGATCAGTTGATTGGTATCGAAGATATTGATTTGAGACGAATGACAAGGAATTCAGAGGCTAGCGATGCTATAACTAGATGTTTGAAAAACTTAGGTAAGTGCTGCGAATTGATTTGCATAAATTGAAATAGACTAGAAATATTGCAAACAAAGTATTCAAAAGGCAATAAAATGTACAATTAACCTTTTGATGAATATTCCGCAATCGTGACGCATATCATCAGGCTTCATAACGGCTCTTGCTTTTGAGTTTATATCCAATCCAGCACTTTCCGTTTCATTCGAGGCAATTTTCAACATCAAAATCTTCTTTCTGCAATTTTTAATTGTTTTTTCATGAGAAAATAAATACATCAAGTCAAGACAAAGATATTCACTAAAATCTTTTGTATTTTAGGACCGAGCGCAAGTAGTGTGTGTTTACATGTTGCAAGGAAGATTGAATTACGCCGCAGCAATGATTTACCAAGTATAAAAAATTCAATAGGTGAATGCTTGATTCCAGATTGTGAGAGTTCTGAAGCACATGAAAGACCGTTAACAAAATCCAGAGGTAACTTTTAATTAATGAAATTTTCATGAATTTAATATTACAGAAGCCATGCATAGATTTTGGAATATTGATTTATGTGAACATTTAATGCAGTTCATTTCGTGAGTGTACAGCGACTCATTAGATACTTGAAATGAGCGGCATTAAAAATCCAAGTGCCGTCATGCGGAAAATCAATCATGTTGTCATTCATTTAACCATTCATTTAGATTCACTATTAATTAAACTATATGGGTAATGTTTAATATATGCAATTTTAATATATGAGTAAAAATATTATTTATATAGATGGTGATAATGCGATCGTAAAGAAAGAAGAAACGTTAAACAGTTATAATACAGATGTGTCAAGAAGTCGACCCAGTAGTTCGGAGGAGCGCTCTTTGTAATCCTTTTCTTTACATCCATGGATTTTCTGCAGTGAAAATTTTTTCAAAAATCGATGAATCCCTTATTTTTTTATCAAACCATTGATGTGCACGGTCTGAATGATTATATTTATCGCAATCGTCAGTACCAATTCAGGCTTTGAAACGGACTGTCATTTCTATATATTTGTTAATTATCATTTCTAAATTTGCATGTCCGAAAATTATTACTATATATCGGAAGTTTACTTTCAACAAGTGCCCTGTTATATCATTTTTAGTGTTTCGTACAATTACTTTTAGAAATGCAAATGAAGATTTTGATTCCACCTCAAGCGGTAGGCAGAAGTGTATATCAGAAGATGAAATGAACCGTACCGGTGGTAGTGCTTTTAGCCGAAAAAATCCTGCGAGGAGGTCGATATTTGTTATTAAAAGTTTCTGTAAAAAATTCACCGTATTTGTGTAAAGATTTTTGAGAAATCATATTTGATATTAAAACGTCAAGAAATGCTGGGTAAAATGGATCTTGTATACTTCAGTAAAAGAGAGTACGCGTCCTTTTTATAGCCTGGAGATTAACTTTATATATATGGCATCAGAAGAAAAAGAGGAGCTTGGGGTATAGCTCTGGTCCTTTTTTATCAATTATCAGCTTCTATCATACCACTTTATCAATTCAACCGTTTTTTAGCAAAGGATTGGAGAACTAAAGAAA